TATGTTGATTTATCTGGCATTGTGAACAATCTGAGATAATATGATCAGATCTGCTGGAATATGGTACTACACATTATTTAGTGACAATTTTGTAAGTGAAATACCTGTAAATTAAATATATGTTGATTTCATTAAAACTGTGTACAAACTGACAAAATATATCCCATTCCCTGAAAATAGAGGTCTCGAAAAGAGGCAAGGCTCATACGATGTCATACAATTCTTCCTGACCGAGCACAAAGCAGCCCAGCGCTGAGTATGTCACAAAACGAACAATTTGGTGACACTTTGCTCTCGTAATCCGGTTTATGACACTGCATGGCTGAATTCGAGATGAAATTCCCATGATGGTTATTGGAAATTCAGTTGTTAAATAACAACTGAATAGTCCTTTATCGGTGTTACCCATTTTAATCTGGACCACGTAATTGTCCCGACACGGATAAAGCTATGAATGTATACAATTACTAACTACCGTGGAACACAGGTGATTGGATAGCAAGTATACAACAGGAATTAACAATCGGGATTTGCATCTTTCAAGTAATGTTTTAACTGCATGGCAATTACCATTTGGGAAAAAACTGGTCAGACAAAGGTGAGAAATAAATAATTATAACACTACCATTCGTGTAAAACTACTTCATTCTGCTTCAAGTTGGTTAACCAGATATTATATATCATTATAATCACCCCTGATCAAAACAATGATTTGAATCTGCATTGCAAAATAGTTTTCCTGAGGGAGAGTGTCCCTACTTCAAGGGATTTTTTATTTAAATTACGATGTTAACACATGAAGGTTGTTTTTTAAATATTCAAAGTGTACAGAAAATCAACAGAAAATGATACAGATACAGAAGGATTTTAAGGGAACCTGCAACAGTGAGCTTCCATATATCTGACAGCATGCTATATCCTGACGTCATTATACTGATGTGCAGATTAGAACCAAGTCTGCGAAATTTCGTTTTACATTCAATTTTTGTCTGTGTGTTCGGTGTCCAGTTCAATTTAGCCTTGTCGATTACCAAGGTGTCATATCTAATGATTTCACGTTGTTCATTTCCTCTGTCGGTTAACAAGTTGTGGCGTGGCAGTTGTGTTGAAGTTGTGGCGTGGCAGTTGTGATCAAGCTGTGGCGTGGCAGTTGTGTTCAAACTGTGGCGTGGCAGTTGTGTTCAAGCTGTGGCGTGGCAGTTGTGTTCAAGCTGTGGCGTGGCAGTTGTGTTCAAGCTGTGGCGTGGCAGTTGTGTTCAAGCTGTGGCGTGGCAGTTGTGTTCAAGCTGTGGCGTGGCAGTTGTGTTCAAGCTGTGGCGTGGCAGTTGTGTTCAAGCTGTGGCGTGGCAGTTGTGTTCAAGCTGTGACGTGGCAGTTGTGTTCAAGCTGTGACGTGGCAGTTGTGTTCAAGTTGTGGCGTGGCAGTTGTGTTCAGGTTGTGACAAAATGTTTGATGTGATTCAGTCTCCAGCATCTGGTGTGCTAACGGAAGGTAACTTGACACAGCGAATTCCGCTATATGGCGGCAGTCTGTAGATAATCAGTCTGGACCAGACAATCCACTGATCGACAGCATGAGCATCGATAAATGCAACTGGAATATGATGACATGTGTCAACCAAGTCAGCGAGCCTAACCACCCGATCCTGTTAGTCGCCTCTTACGACAAGCATGGGTTGCTGAGGATCAATTCTTACCCGGATCTTCAAGGGTTGTGCCTTACAGGGGGAGAGGGAAAATAGGTTACTCATTTATTGCTCCCGTATACAATGTCATGTAAACGTATAGTCCAGCAATAAGACTTATGAGACAGACAATAATACATATGGAAACAAGCCACCAGAGGGACACTGTTAGTATTCTGTATAGAACAATATCACACATGGTAATTCATATATTGCGTTAAGATAATGTCAGTTATAACTGGTTCAACGTGGACTACATGGTGTCAAGAAGATCGGTTGATAGTTTGCTATGAGATGCAGATTCTTCCAAGGCAAGTGTTTAAGATCCACATCAAAACAAATCTAAATGGTTCTACTGTGGTACCCATGTTTTTCCTATAAAACATAAAATACGAAAGCATTTGCCTAGAATTGCCTCGTTCTAACAACGTTGCCATTTACATTTAAGATTCTAGTGTGTCACCCATTTTTTACCCTTAAAACATAGAATACGAAAGCATTTGCCTAGAATTGCCTTGTTCTAACAACTTTGCCATTTACATTATTTGAGTCTCCTCTCCATTTTTCAGTATCACCTGTAGTAATGAGGCATGTATTGTTGTTCTATATATACTATCCCCAAAAAAGAAACGCATAGGCGTTTTCGTATTTTAAAAATCTATTAATTACCTATTGTGCTCAAACACAAAATATGTAACGAAAGTGTTGATAAATGATTTTACACAATTGCACATTCAAGTAAAAAATCGACTTTACCTGAAAATGCTGAGTTTGATGAGATTTCTTATAAGGATTAAAAACGCATCGCCACAACGCAACGCAAATCACCTTCCAGTTGCAAGTGTGCAGCACAGTGCATGCACTGTCGTTTTGAAGGTGTTTTGCATTCGTTTTGAAGGAGTTTCAAGGTCAAATCGCTACGGCACATCTTGACGCGCTGAGATGGAACATCGCCATTGAAAGAATGCACTCTGGAGATAACCAGTCTTCTGTTGCCAGGCGTCTGAATGTTAGTCTGAGCACGATATCATGGCTTGCAACTCGTTACAACCAAACAGGTACAACAAATTACCGTCCCCGTACAGGCAGACCTCGAGTCACCACTGCAGCATAAGATCGGTACATCTGGGTACTACATTTGCGTGATGGTAGTGCCACGGGTGAGAGCACAGCAGCCAGGGTACCTGGACTTCGGAGGATATTCGGTCAAACTGTACGGAACGGGTTGAGAGAGATTGGACTGAGAGCAAAGAGACCCGACGTCGGAACGGTGCTACGTCGCCACCATCGTGCTCTACGTCTCCGTTATTTAAAATTATCCACTTGCTTGAATACACATTTCCTTCGTCTAAACTGATGTAAAAATTCATGCACTAAAGTCTATTTGTGGACGAGTGATGCATGTTTGAAAATACAACATTTTCGCAACGGATTTCCGGCCTATGCGTTTCTTTTTTGGGATAGTATATTTGAATCTACACTTTACGCTTTGGAACTCACACTTTCACACACTTCCAAATACACACGTGAGCACATACAGGTACAAAGAAAAATATATACAGGTGAGGTGAGGTGAGGTGAGGTGAACTGGGGTTTAGCGTCGTACTTCGCTTCTAATATTTCGCTTATATTACGACGTGCATGCGTGTGTATGTGTGGCAGCTTGTACTAGCCCAGACTGAAGCTGGTTTTATAGTGTCAGCATGTACCATGCCGCAGTTAAGCTTGGATATCCCACTCAGACACATTATACTGACTCCAAGCCGACCAGTCCTTGTTGTACCCATTAATGCCGAGCGCCAGGCAGACCAACACGTACCATATTTTAACGTCTTTTGGTATGAAGCGGCAGGGGAAAAAGAAAAAGAAGTCTACTACTGCACAAGTGCATCAAATTGAAATTTAGGTGACAATAGAAAACAATAGCCATTAAAATTACTGCTTTTTTCACACAAAACATGTATTCTGTGTACCAACTATGTGTTCTGTTAGGTATGATATAATCTTTGGTGGAGTCCGTTTTACCATTCGGTCAGGGTTTAGAATTCACCAGAACAATATTACCTTCACATTTATACTTTTTAAAACGTGAGATATATTATCAGTCTCGATTACCTGATTCCATGGGGCGCAATAGTAAAAGTAGCGATGCAAGTATATTTATCTGAATGGATCATTGAAAATCAATCATGACAACGGGAAGACGGTTTTTATGTCTGCATCTCTCTCTGTCTCTGTTTCTCTCCCTCACTCTCTCTCTCTCACCCTCTCTCTCACTCTCACGCTCTCTCTCTCTCTCTTTCTCTGTCTCTCTCTCCCCCCCTCTCTCTCTCCCTCTCCATTCGAACCGCACAGCACGTTGTCGCTCATACGCGGAAAGGAAACTTTTGAATTTTTGAATTCCCATCTCAGTTTGTATGTCATTTTTCGTCCGTGTAATTTGGCATGACCTCAAATGTGAAATAGCATCTGAAAGTGTTTCATTAAGATATGTAATAAGAGTGCCACCTAGCTCGAGACTGCTCTCTTGTCCAGCGTGTCTTGTTTATGCCAATACCACAATATCAGTGGTTTCTCAGGCTGCAAAACATGAGAGATATGAGCTTGAATTCCGGATATTATATCACATGTTATATGAAGTCACCTATTATGTTCCAACCCACAACAATTGTTGACAGCTGTTGGGTATTTGAATTACTTACCACTTTTACGGTAAATTTAGCAATGCTGTCAAAAAAATTAATGTTTAAACGAAACTTTTGTATTGCGCAGACCATTACGTGAGACTAAATCACAGTGTTACCTTGGGTATAATTAGGGATATCGATATCAATATATTTTCTTACAGTTGGATAGAACCAGCAATGTAACATATTGGCTGAATAGCCAGCCATTAATCACTGAATAGATTGGAGAATGAAGTCATTTCGTGGCTCAATGCATCAACGTGAAGTCGCCAATGCATTATTAATTGCAAATCAATGAACCTTGGTCGTCATACACATTCAATGACGTTTATCAAAATGACAATTAAAGCAAAACAAATAATGCAAGTCGGCAATTGTACCCACTGACTGGTATTGCAGCGACTAAATTACTTTGGATTTTTTTTCAAACTACTGCTGAGTCTTGTCATTTATTCCTTGGAAATTTCCAAAGTTCCTATTAAAACCTGATCGAATCTCTGAACTGAATGCAAAAAATGACCATGTGGTCCTTGAATTTTTTTAAAGCCTTTACCTACATAGATTTTAGCTATATCGATCTATTCAAACGCATGTATATATTTACCGTACCACATATCCAAGTGAGCATCGTCGGGTCGGCTGTCAACCATGAGGTAAGACAGGTGATATCGAATGCCCCTATGCCTGTACCATTCGTCAGGAATCGTTCCACTGCACTTACGTTTTATACTTTGCACATTTTGTTTTCATGTTATATTTACAGATAGCATTACCGCCATAGGCCGGGATTGACACATATGATGGTCACATGAGACTAATGGTTATATCTTATTTGGACGTGCAAGTTTTCGTAGGAATGCCAAGATCAGCAGTTATCTGATTCGTAGATTACCCAGATTATGATGGGTTTTTTAAAACAAAGTATTAAACGTCTGTTACCACTATATTTTACCCTTTTATACCCTGAATTATCGTGCCGTGGTATAACGCTTACTGTAAGACACGATGGCGTTGTTTCTACAAAAGACGACTACACACCTAGACTCAGGGTTCTTCCTGGACTGAATACTCAGACCCAAAGATGAATAGAAAAGTCGTCACATCTTTAATATTCAGTCGAAGCCTTTACCTTGCAATTTGATATTGGTATGGTATTTAATTAGCAGGGGAAATAACTGTGATGGACAACTGATGAACCGGTCTCTGTTTCTGTCATGACCCTCTGAACGACGACTAGATTTCGTTTAAACTTTGTCAAGTGATTTGACACTATTGGCCAAATTCTTGCCCTTACACAATCTAGCAGTTTTGCGTTTCTGTCGCCCTGGGCGCCGTTGTACAAAACAACCTTAGCTTTAAGACTACCTTAAGTCTATGTTAAGGTATAAGAGTTGCGGTCACCTTAGCGCTAAGATCGCTTTGTACAATGGCACCCTGGCGCTGAATCATTAAGTACTATCCCCATCAGTCGGCGGTCGGACAGTGCTAAGGACTATTGTATCATTATGTGACACAAAGAAAGACATGTTTTTGGAAATGAACAGGTGGCAATTGTTGCATTTTTCCTCGGTAAAGAGTAGTGTCTATGAGATTTTGCCAGCTGCTGTATCATAAACGTTCGACCTTTTGAATACATTATGTGCAAGTATCATGATGTTGTAGAGCCTATATATTTCCTGCGCAGTTCCTTATTCGGAACTAGCTATTCTGCGTCAACTTCCATATGGGGAAGACAAAATGTGGCCTGCTGTAGTCATCAGTTTGTGGGTGTGGCTGTTAATCTTCTGTACGATCCAGTCTAAACGCACTGTGCTAATTCATTTAGTTTACCTTTGGCCAACAATCATGCAGTAGATGAAATAAAGACATATTGTACCTTACAGTTTCGTTGAGATAGTCAAGGAATTTACTGAAAATAAATATTGACACAAGTATTCTTTCGTCGTCTTTTCGTCTGCAGCATTATCGCGCCAAAAAAAGTTCAAAATTATATTTCTTTTTTTTTTAGGATTTGGCAGCTGCTCATCGTCTTGGGGCTTCTCCAGTTGGGGAGGGCTGCCAAAAAGCCAGGTAAGTTACCTCTTTTCGCGTCTTCATTGTGATCCTTCTTTCGAATGTGGTCATTCATGATATGATACAATTCGCCAAATCAAGTCGTGCTGTTCCGTTCTTGCATGCCAACATCAGTTGATGAATGGTTCCGAGACTACCCAGGTTATAATGTTTGCCTGTCAACACAACTACCTCAGTTAAGCCAGTTAACACCCTCAGTCGATATGCCGTGATAAAATCCAATAACTGTATAACTCAGCGATGTTGTTCCGACAAGGGACGATTACATACCAAGAATCAGAATCGTGGGATTCTATCTGGTCTGAAGGATCCGAACCAAAGATGGATAATAAACTGGTCATATTTGTTTCTCATTGTATTCAATCGAAGCTTTGATTTTGCAGTTGGAATTACATTGTATGGCACTCGATAAAATAATTGTGATGTACAACGACAGGCGATGGACATGGACTCCATGTTTCTGTCATGACTTTCTGAGATAAGGACAATATTTTATGGATGAACAACGTCTTTATTCGGGTGATGATGTTCATCCATAAAGTCTTGTCCTTATCTGATTTTTCAACTTTTACAACATGCCACTCAAAGAAATTATGACTTTCTGATCGAGGAATATCCTCCGTTTGAACATTTGCCACACTCTTGGCCTAATTCTTGCGCTTTCGCGATCTCGAACTCTGGTGCTTTTGTCGCTAACTCTCTCCCTATCAGTCGGCGGTAGGTTAGTGCTGATGACTACTGTCTCATTATGTAATACAAGGACAAACATGACGTTGTGGAACCCATGGTTTTTCTGGGATTTATACTCCTCACAAGAAAATTAAGCAACAAGTATTTTACTGTGTAATATCTTTAGCAATCTCCATAGCGAATAGAATACATAACCTTTAGTGACTGTCAAATTGATTGATCGGATAACATTGACACCATCACCCGAACACACCACCAGAAACAACATGCAAAATGTGTGGCATGAATGTGCCCCACTCTTCACACATACGCCCTGACCGGTGTAAACCTACCTGTAATCATTCCTCTGGTACAACAAGCGGGTCCTAACTTCATTTTTTGGATGATAATGCCCGTCCATGGATGATAATGCATGAGAAAGAGTTGTTAGCGATGTTGCTTAGATCAACAACATCACAGATATGGACTGTCCTGCAAGGTCCCTTGATCTGAATCCCATTGAACATGCTTGGGGCATTATTCGAGGTCGGGTTTACGGTCTCAATGTTCACCCCAAGACTCTGGATGATCTTGAGCAGGCGTTACAGAGAGAATGGCAGAACATTTCACAACAACAACTTTAAAGGTTCATTTGGTCAATGCAAAGACGTGTAGAAGCGTGCATGTGTGTTCATGGTGGTCATATCCGTTACTGAACACTGCTTCACTGTCCAAAACTGACTTGAACCTTAATGTTAACATTTTGCTTCATCAATGCAGCACATTTTGCACGACTGTTTCACTAGTACATGCTTTTGATGATTTTTAAGTCTATTAGTACTCAATACCATTTCATTTCATTTTGTTAATCGTGAAGGGGTTTCACATGGCAATCAAGGATTGAAGAGTAATTCCAATTTATCATATGAAGAGGTTATGACATGAATACCAACGAGAACACAAACTCGTGTATTGACATCTTGAGTATGCTGCACATTTATCTAACTGATATATGACATTTAGATGGCGCTTTAGACCGTTTATGGTAGGGATAGATTTTAAACACCTGTTTTCAGAGATGTGTTGCTTTGTGCACATTAAAATTAGATTTAAGACGTCATTTCTTCTTTCTTTATATCCAAAAACAATGTGTTTTACGTTCAGTTCTAATTGTGTGCCACTTACAATGTCTATCCAATTTGTTTATTAATTCCACAACGTCTTTATATGTTTGCACTCATATAACACATGAATAATGATTCCTTATCACAGAAAGAACACAATGAATGTAATATAATATTATAGTTTAATAGGTCTTCATTTGTTGCCAGAATTCTCTGGATAATTTTAAATTGTAGCCATCGAAGTTGTGTAAAAAGTGTTGCGATAAAAGGTATGCGGTTATAACTTTCCCACTGGTCTACTGGTATAATTTCGTTTATGTCTCGTTCCCATTTTATTTAATTACGTAATTTTCCTTGCGAATTATATAATTTAGATAGTGTAGTATAGAATATTTCACTTCACTTTTTCCCTTTTACAAGATTAAAACTATAGGGAATAAATGGTTGTTCTACTTTGTTTAGTTTTATTTTCTTGCGATTCAATTGCATTGATAAGTTCTGTATATTCCCAAAAGTTTGTCTTCACGTTGTATCCAGTTGTAAATGCATCACACTTTAGAAAAGTACCGTCAGTCGTGAGTTAATTATTGATAATTTTAACATTTGCTTTTAAATAGTGTCTATATAGTATAGGTTTCTTAGCAATAGTTATATTGTCTTTTGCCCATATAAATTGTTTGGTGTATCTGTCATATCGTGTTCTTGTAGAGGTTGTAATTTTGGAAAGTTTAGGTACTTTTGGAACAAAAGAATTGCGTAGATAGTTATTTCCCATATCTGTTGGAAACAAAGTTTCTGTTCGAATGTTAACATCTATGAGTGTTTTTATTTTGGTATCGATTGTATATGTTCTTCGTAACCAAGAGATATTTTGAGACTGGATTGTTTCCAAACTGAGGGGTACATTAAGTCCACTATTTTCATATGTCTGTATTGCAGTAGTACGTTTTATTTTATCGGGTTTATATTTCCAAACAAACCTAAACCATCTTTATTTGTAGGTAATTTATTACATTCAGTTGTTTTATTAGGAAGCATGGTGAAAAGATGGTTTAGGGAAGGTAAAATCAAACTCTTGAGGACTGTTATTCTGCCGCATGGTGTGTATGCAAATATATATATATATGTTGTAATCCTCCATGAGTACGTCCATGAAGTACGGCACCACTGGCTGTGGCGTGGTGACTGAAGGTGGAGATGGGCGTATGTAAGTAGACAGTTTTTTTATTTCAAGACAACTGTCACAGGTTTTTATCAAGTCCACTAATCACATAAAGGTTTCGATCACGTCCACTGGTCTAATATCACTCTGTAGGGTTTGTTGACCCTAAAAGTTTGTAAATTCATAGACACTGATTTGGAGTATTTTACTCAACGCCGAAGAGCAAGAGAATGGAATTTGAATTGGTTATTGTGTCTTGTCTCATAGGTTTTCTCTTATGTACTGTTTGTATTGAGAAGGTAACATTATACCAGCATGTGTGTGCCAAACTCTCTCTCTCTCTCTCTCTCTCTCTCTCTCTCTCTCTCTCTCTCTCTCTCTCTCTCTCTCTCTCTCTCTCTCTCTCTCTCTCTCTCTCTGTCTGTCTGTTCTTCGTCTTAAATATGTAAACTAAAGGGCAGAATAAATTACTACCGCCTCATTCCAATCATTTTCCAATAATATGACTGAACATTCATTGTAATACTGGTCTTGTAATCTTCCGCAATTCATTAAGAAAGAGTCAAGAGGTCAAAATCAATAAATACACAAATCGGAATTCAAAAAGTGTCAGGGGACGTGTCATCAATAGCGAGTGTGACCACCCTGGGCACCCATACACACCAACACACGTTGACGTCGTCAGTCCGCAGATGACATCAGCAGGAATCGTGTTCCATAAGTCCAAGAGAGACTGTTGCTTGCTCTGTCAAACATCGATATCGTGCACGTGCATTTGGACCAATGTCCCACAATTACGTTTTTCATGTTTTGAAAAAAAACACACGACTTGTCGAAGTTTTTGGACAGCTGAGTTGTCATCGGGACCATGCTGTGTTTTGGCGAATGTTTTCTGCATGTACGGAAAAAATTCAAACATGTCCGGATGTTTTGGTTTTTTTATACAATTACTTTAACAGTGATAATCTTTGCCGTTAGGTTATCTGTATATATGTTTTTCATCTAAAATCTATAGATGATGTCTACGCCATCGGTGACATGTGACACTGGTGAGGTTGTTGTTGAGAGGGTGTTTTATCAGTAAACCAAGTATACCTTGCCCCAAAGAGCTAATCGAGAAACTATCACCCATTTCAGTGCGAGGAACGCAAGCTGAATAGTTTAAATGCCTTTAGTTGTTCCAATGCTTATTCAGGTGATTTCTGGGACTTCGTTGATTAACCATAGATCAGTGGCATCAGTAATAATGGCTTGGCCATCTTAGCAAACTCCTTCACATCCTGGGACTTGTATAACCCTTTACTGATGGTAGGTCCCGGCCAGTTTAACTGTATTCAACCTCCTCGGGATGAGCTGAGAAAACATGGCCAAGTAAAATTGATTGTATTTTTACAGAACCTTCAGTCAACTGATCACAATATCAGAGGATTGTTGATAAGAAGAGAATGATGCCATTAACTTGGCCCACAAAACTTTAGTTCACGAGTCTTTGATAAGTCACAAGCCAAAGGACATACTATTGTGACCATACAATCCCATAGGTCCGACAGTTAAGGCAGTTCGTTTCTTGCGTGTCAACGTGGCGAAAGCGACTCTTCATGTTCAGGGAACTGTAGACCTTGAAACCTGCGAGGGCAACACACATTTCTTCATTTCTGTGAATAGGAAAACTATCTTTAATATATGTAATGGTCTGTTGGTTAACCTAGAGCAAATCCACACGGATTCCTGAAAATTAGTCAAGTGTGCAACTGGCAGTCAGTAGGCAGTCGTGGGAATATATGAAGTGACAGAGTACTTAAACTCACATAACATTCCACACTTCTCATAATATTCCACATTTCACATCGTCTCTATCACGTAATCAAACAATGATCATGTTACTCTGCTGTTGAAATATCCACCCAAACCTATGCCCTTTTAGACTATGAGATATAAATGGTTAGAAAACGCAAGCAGTCTTAAGGATAAGGTGAATTTCATAGCCATCGAATTCCAATACTGTGGTACCATCTGTATAAGAAAGGTGGCTACATCCTGGGATTCCGGACAGTCAAATCTTTATGTCTGGGCAATATGTCGTTACCATTTGGGCTTGACCGCAGTACCAGTGGTAATATGTGTCAGGGATAGTTTTCCTGTTTTATAGAAGCGACAAGACCCTGTCAGCACCATCAAAAAATCTCAGCCAAGAGCAGAGTCGATGGTACCATGTAGGTTCTATCATGTTGAAGCACCGTCAAAACGTCATATGCACTTGCACAGGCCTGCCAGTTGTTCACCAGAAAGAAAATCGCTGATACGCGAATACTTTGAAAATGTCATCTGCATGTCTTCTGAAAAACCTTTTCAAAGATTTACTGAGGCCGTGAATGTAACCTTGATCGAACACCTGAGTAAGAGTCGATGACGCTCTTTGAAATGTTGGTACATTGTGAAATCTATATCGTTCCTCAACTTCTGATGTGTGAAAACCAAAGGCTGGGGTTGTTGGAATATTACTCGACAGTTGATTAGTCGAACGTTTAAATCATGTTGTCGTTCAGCCATGTGGATGTCTTTTTGTCAGGACCAGCTGACAATGATGGAACTGGATGCGGCTCAAAGGATCCAAGATCATTTCCAGAGATTGTACTGTCTTAATTGGATATTTTTACAGATATTTAATTCGTACTGGCATGCCACTGACAAATTAATGCCGTTGATCATGATACGATTATCACAGGGGATTTTAACATTGATTTCATTGAGTAAATAGGAAGATGGATATGTACAATCAGTATGTGGCCTAACACAAATAGTGTATTGGCCAACAAGAACAAGAACCGCCCTAGTACACAACTTCATCTGATCTTTGAGTGAGTGAGTGGGTTTAATTTTACGCTGCACTCAGCAATATTCCATTTATATGGCGGCGGTATGTAAATAGTGGAGTCTGGACCAGACAATCCAGTGAACAACAACATGAGCATCGATCTGCGCAATTGGGAACCGATGACATGTGTCAACCAAGTCAGCAAGCCTGACCACATGATCCCGTTAGTCGCCTCTTAGGACAAGTATGGGTTACTGAAGATCAATATTCTAACCCGGACCTTTACGGGTGTAAAGATCTTTGTATCACGGTACAGTTCTATGACAGCGTCAGGGATGCTTGGGTCATTTTATAGTGGCGAGTATATGTATACCTAAAACAAGCTGCCTCGCACATAAATGAAATGTGTTTAATATACTGAAAGGCAAGAGAAACGTAATGTTCGAAATGATATTTAAGGTTCAATGAAGTATTTGAACCGATTTTTATAAAATATACACCGGAAGTCAATCTTGAGCAAAACATGAACCGTGGTCGTATAGCCTGTTTTGCCCAAGAAAGTATTGTTTGAGATTGACGTTTGAAATGTTTTGTTTGTGAAAAGGGAAGAGTTCGCACAAACATAACATTAAAATCGAGATGCACGTGCACCATAGATCCTTTCAGGCATAAATTGCCGCCTTGAATGGCAATAGTTCATTTGTTTTCTGAACACAGCAGCTATTAATGTATTAAGTGAGAGTAATCCATTGATGGACAATCAGATCCTTTCTTTAATCCGAAAACGCAACAGTAAATATGAAGTTGCGAAAAAGAGCAGTTTATGATCACATTAGGAAATGTTCAGACGAATACGAAATCAAGTTGTTACCTGTGCAATGTGATACTGAGAGCAGAAAATGAAGTTGAAACTGCCTGAGGTTCTAAAACGTGTGCTAGACTGGTAAGCATGTTACTATCCTTCCAGCTATTATATATACCGATATGATTTATGATGATGATGTGTGTAATGCAAATACTACACAATTATTGCCCTGCATAATTGAATTCCCTTAAAAAGCATTGCCAGCTGATACGTAAGAATTGTTCTAATACTCTTGGCAATTCCCCAAGCGGAAATATATGAGGCAATACTTTCAGTTGATACCGCCAAGTGATCCATACCAACGGTGTTGAACATTATGCTTGATTCAACACACACACGATAAACATAGTTGTATAACTATTTCAGCTTTTTCATTACTGCGCATTAGATTACAATGGAACATAAAGGTTGTTGAACCCTGAGATAATCAGACAATCATACATATCAAGGATTTTACTGAAGGTCAGGTACCAACCTTTTTCTCAGTTGTGCCACCAAGGACAGATAAAACGCATTTCAAACATCATGATCAAACAATGTGATCTGATGTATCTTGTATCGTGTACTTGTACAGGTTGTTCAAGGCGAATATGCATTTCACCTCATTGCAACAGAAGCACATGTTAAAGCACTCACCTGTGTATCTCAATTGGACCCATACCGTGCTCCATTCCATATGATTAATGTCCGCTACTAAAGTCGTCAGTTTCCTCTGTATTAAATGGACCACTTGCATGGAAAATAACTGTGTCTGAGGCATGTACGTCAGAAGAATTTACTTTTGATCAGGTGTCATGCTTTCGCATGGCTGCGCCACAAGAACAAATGTAAAAAAACATAGGTAAAATAGGTAATGTTTAGGGCAGAAATGCACGAAAGCGATTTAGGAATTACAATGTAATGCGAGATATATATGATCTAACGTATCTTGTACTTTTACAGGTTGTTCAGGGAGAAAACTGGATCTGGTCTTTCTGCTGGACTCCTCTGGCAGTGTCAAAAAGCACAACTTCAAACGAATGCTCTCCTTCATGAAGTACTTCCTTTCAACGGCAAGCATAGATGATGGTAAAGTCCGTGTTGGTGTGGCCATCTTTAACGGAAAGGCAACAATCCAGTTTCACCTGAATAAATTTAAAACAAAGAAAGCTTTATTCCGGGCTATAGACAGAATTAAATACAAAAGAGGACGTACCAACACATTTGCTGGTCTCAGATTACTGCGAACTCAAATGTTTAAACGGAAAAGAGGTGATCGTCGAGGTGCCAAGAATGTAGCTTTGGTCATGACGGATGGTTTGTCCAATGTGAAGTCCAAGCGGACAATTCCAGAAGCAAAAGCTGTGAGAAGGGCGGGCATCCATATCTTTGCCATTGGGATCGGATTGAAGAAAACAGCTGAGTTAGATGGGATAGCTAGTAGGCCCGCTGCAGAGAATCGATTTACCGTGAAGAACTTCAAACAGTTGAGAGGTCTTAAAGACAAAGTATTCACCTCAGTCTGCCAATTTGTCACATCCCCAGGACCAGGACCATCGCCACCAAAAGGTATGTACATGTGTTTATATTGAGTAAGTGTAACTAAGGTGTAATGTCAGATAAATGTAAAAGAATATGCATTTCACCTCATTGCAACGGAAGCAAATATTGAAGCACTCACCTGTGTATCTCAGTTGGACCCACACCAGAATCGTGTGTTTTTGTTGTGATGTGCAGTTCGTGCTCCATTCCACATGATTAATGTCCGCTACTAAAGTCGTCAGTTTCCTCTGTATTAGATGGACCACTTGCATGGGAAATAACTGTGTCTGAGGCATGTACGTCAGAAGAATTTACTTTTGATCAGGTGTCATGCTTTTGCATGGCTGCGCCACAAGAACAAATGTAAAAAAAACATAGGTAAAATAGGTAATGTTTAGGGCAGAAATGCACGAAAGCGATTTAGGAATTACAATGTAATGCGAGATATATATGATCTAACGTATCTTGTACTTTTACAGGTTGTTCAGGAGAAAACTGGATCTGGTCTTTCTGCTGGACTCCTCTGGCAGTGTCAAAAAGCACAACTTCAAACGAATGCTCTCCTTCATGAAGTACTTCCTTTCAACGGCAAGCATTGATGATGGTAAAGTCCGTGTTGGTGTGGCCATCTTTAACGGAAAGGCAACAATCCAGTTTCACCTGAATAAATTTAAAACGAAGAAAGCTTTATTCCGGGCTATAGACAGAATTAAATACAAAAGAGGACGTACCAACACATTTGCTGGTCTCAGATTACTGCGAACTCAAATGTTTAAACGGAAAAGAGGTGATCGTCGAGGTGCCAAGAATGTAGCTTTGGTCATGACGGATGGTTTGTCCAATGTGAAGTCCAAGCGGACAATTCCAGAAGCAAAAGCTGTGAGAAGGGCGGGCATCCATATCTTTGCCATTGGGATCGGATTGAAGAAAACAGCTGAGTTAGATGGGATAGCTAGTAGGCCCGCTGCAGAGAATCGATTTACCGTGAAGAACTTCAAACAGTTGAGAGGTCTTAAAGACAAAGTATTCACCTCAGTCTGCCAATTTGTCACATCCCAGGACCAGGACCATCGCCACCAAAAGGTATGTACATGTGTTTATATTGAGTAAGTGTAACTAAGGTGTAATGTCAGATAAATGTAAAAGAATATGCATTTCACCTCATTGCAACGGAAGCAAATATTGAAGCACTCACCTGTGTATCTCAGTTGGACCCACACCAGAATCGTGTGTTTTTGTTGTGATGTGCAGTTCGTGCTCCATTCCACATGATTAATGTCCGCTACTAAAGTCGTCAGTTTCCTCTGTATTAGATGGACCACTTGCATGGGAAATAACTGTGTCTGAGGCATGTACGTCAGAAGAATTTACTTTTGATCAGGTGTCATGCTTTTGCATGGCTGCGCCACAAGAACAAATGTAAAAAAAACATAGGTAAAATAGGTAATGTTTAGGGCAGAAATGCACGAAAGCGATTTAGGAATTACAATGTAATGCGAGATATATATGATCTAACGTATCTTGTACTTTTACAGGTTGTTCAGGGAGAAAACTGGATCTGGTCTTTCTGCTGGACTCCTCTGGCAGTGTCAAAAAGCACAACTTCAAACGAATGCTCTCCTTCATGAAGTACTTCCTTTCAACGGCAAGCATTGATGATGGTAAAGTCCGTGTTGGTGTGGCCATCTTTAACGGAAAGGCAACAATCCAGTTTCACCTGAATAAATTTAAAACAAAGAAAGCTTTATTCCGGGCTATAGACAGAATTAAATACAAAAGAGGACGTACCAACACATTTGCTGGTCTCAGATTACTGCGAACTCAAATGTTTAAACGGAAAAGAGGTGATCGTCGAGGTGCCAAGAATGTAGCTTTGGTCATGACGGATGGTTTGTCCAATGTGAAGTCCAAGCGGACAATTCCAGAAGCAAAAGCTGTGAGAAGGGCGGGCATCCATATCTTTGCCATTGGGATCGGATTGAAGAAAACAGCTGAGTTAGATGGGATAGCTAGTAGGCCCGCTGCAGAGAATCGATTTACCGTGAAGAACTTCAAACAGTTGAGAGGTCTTAAAGACAAAGTATTCACCTCAGTCTGCCAATTTGTCACATCCCCAGGACCAGGACCATCGCCACCAAAAGGTATGTACATGTGTTTATATTGAGTAAGTGTAACTAAGGTGTAATGTCAGATAAATGTAAAAGAATATGCATTTCACCTCATTGCAACGGAAGCAAATATTGAAGCACTCACCTGTGTATCTCAGTTGGACCCACACCAGAACTCAATATACTTACAAATGGCTTGAGACATTAACTTGCAAGTATATATTCAAATAAATATGAATTCTCTCTATTGTAGTTAATGCGTAAGCGCAAAAAAACGTTAATGTTGCTTTCCTGTAGTGCAGTGAAAAAGAACCAGAGTTTAAATTACGTAGGAAGGTACATGTATGCATGGTGAAGGTTGGGTTTGTTAGAATTGAGATATAGCTACTCTACCACCGTGTTACCAGTAAGACAGTCAGGATGAGTACTCTGTCATATATGTTGTCAGTAAGACAGTCAGATGAGTACTTCATCCATGTGTTGCCAGTAAGACAGTCATTTGGTACGCTATCCGTGTAGTCAGAGTTCTACAAACGGCACAACGATACCGTAAACACAATACCATATTACGTCGATAAATAATACTCACGTCAGCTGGAAATGAAGCGACATGCTTGAAGTATTTCCAGATGTATGATGGTAATGCCGTTTAACTCACTCTCGTAGTTCCCTTCTAATACTCAGTAGAAGTAACTTTGTGCAAAGATCGCATGTGGCATTTGAAACTGACCAAAGCGTTACTTTACGATGTATGGTATCGTTTCGCGTCAAAGGCTCACTAACAGCCATTAAGTCAAACATCATTTGTAAGCCTGACCAATGCGGTTTATTTTCACTTTATAATGTTGCCACCATTGTCCTTAATATATCTGTTCACACCAATATGCTACCAAACCGATTTTGTCAACAAGAAACATCCTGTAGCCAAGCATTTGCCCTACCATGCTATTGTCCAGTGTACGTTAAGTAGCTGAAATCGCGCAATATAACAGCAATTAATGCAACCTAACCAAAGCACAACAA